TCACCTTCAAAGAGTAGGAGCATCATTATAAGTTCATTAATGTTCATAAATGTACATATTTTATTGTCAGTCACAAAGTGAGACACCTCCATGTGTTTATATGAACAGGTAACTACAGACTGTAAAGTTCATATTCATGATGTTTTTACATTTCAGCTTGAAAACTGCAGGACTACAGGAACTCAACAAAAGCTGGAGCTGCTCTGTCTGTGGCCTCTCAGGAACGTGCACATCACACACACACTCTCAGGAACGTGCACGTCACACACACAACCTCGACCTAATGATGTGAGTATTTCTATTTTAAACTTTTATTTTTTTCATCGACCCTTTATTTATCCAGGTAGTCTCACTGAGTCACGAGAATTCATTTTCAAGAGAGACCTGTTTAGGAGCAGATGGTGGGGGTTGAGTGCCTTGCTCAGGGGACCAGGGTGGGGCCAATGAGGGTGGAGGCAGGTGTGGGTGTTTCACCTTTTCCACCTCATTTTGATGTTGACGGTACCGGGAGTTGAACCTGCGACTTTCGATCACAGGCCCATCTTGTAACCTCTGCTCCACCACTCCCTAACTGTGAAGAACAACAGCAGCTCAGTGATTCCCTCAACACAGCAACCTCCAAACATGGCCACCCTCACACACATCGTCCATGGAGAGACTGGACCACAGCACAAGATAATAAGACAGTGATAACAACGACAACAATACACATTCACAAATGATTCATACAAATTTAAGTTTTTTTATTGTTTGTTTGTTTTACAATTGAAAAACAGTTTGTTATCCACTGTTGTCATCACTCTTTGTTAAAATCCAGGTCTCTCTTGTAAATGAGTATAAAGTAAATGATATACATAATGATTTATTCAATCTTTTATTTATACAGGTTGGCTTCATTGAGCCACAAGGACTCGTTTACAAGAGACCTGCTCCAGACAGAACAGTAAACAATGGCAATGATAAACTACAGTAAAAATGATAGCGATGATGTATATATATATATATATTTATTAATATATATATATATATATAT